ATGTAATGGTTATATGAAAAAAAAAATACCCATTTACATCCATCCCCTGAAAATAAAAAAATAACAGTTCAATAGGGAAACCCTTTCAAGTTTGCAGTAATGTTCAGGCTTTAGGTCCTATGGGTATGGAATTCCCACTGTTATCTCTCTCTGCCTCAGAAAAAGAACACAAACACAGAATGTGGAGGAGGGATTCAATAAGAGGGGAACCTCAGTCAGGGGAATTCCCAATAACAAAAATAAAGTCTGATATCCCACAGAGAGGAGAGATATAATATACAGTCAATGTTTGCCAGATAATTAGCATGAAATGGATCCCGACATGGAAATTCATTCAGGATATCGGCATCTGGGGACACAGGGATGTTTTCTGGGAGGCTGAGATAAAGTTTGAAGTTTCAGGAATCGGACCATTTATTTTGGCTTAGAAAAATGAGACAGCTAGTGTATAAGCTCAGAATAGAAAATGTTTTCCAATATTCTATGATGCATGTTTAATATATGTCACAAAGGGTCAAAGTGATTGAAGAAGCTTTTTTGCTTTAAAATATTCAATGGAGAAAATAAATTAACCAAAGATGATCAAATAAAAGAAAAGAGAGATGGAATAATTACTGAATATTCTTTGGCCTCTATCCACACCAAATGTAAAATTCCTACCCCACCCACCCTGTTTCCTGAGGTATAATTTGTCCCCCATATTATTGTCAGGTACAGGTGAGAATGGCTGACACTGATTACCTGTAGTTACCTGTAATTTACCTGGACAACAGGTATACTCTCCTTCATTTCTGTTCTGATGATAAAATCAGCAAAGAAAATTCAGGACTTGGTCTCTCCCTAATTAAATGTGCATTTTGTGCAAATGTCGTGTAACAAGGCAGTTAATTGTCTTTTGGTCTTTGGTTGCTATGCTACAATTTTTGCATGTATTGGATATTAAGTCGGTGTTCAACAGCTGCAAAGACTTTAGAGGCTGTTAATATGATTTGTCGCAATAGCTTATGTGTAGCTCTGACTCTGTTTTATACTTCATGGGGGTATATAGATATATATTAATGGTTAACTGGGAACATCTGATACGGCTTCTATTAGGAGTCTCCAGTTTATCCCAGACAGTGGTATTTGATGTGGGTCTGTTATAATCACTGTTGTATATACAATATATACATGTTGATTCGGACTTTGAGCTTACTTTGAATGGACAGCTTTATTATAGAGACTGTATACATGTATACACATTTGGGATTTTAAGAAATAAAAATTCTGCTGAGTCTGTTAAGTATGCTTACATGTTGATGATTTTGGTTTCTTTTGGATGAAGAGCTTGAGACTCAGAAAAACAGCATCTATTGCCAGTGAGACTTTTGAAATTTTTTAATCTGTGGATGCGTACATGTGGACCAGAGTTTGGGGTTTAATCTGATAGAACCTGCCTGAGAGACAACATCTCCGCCAGTGTGACTTTGATATTTTTTTTCCCTGCTGACTTTATCTTTTAGGAGTTGATGGTTGTCTTGCAGAGCCTTGATGGGTTTCCTACAGATTGAATTGGAGTTAACAGAAAAATATACACACCACAAAAAAAATTTGTTAAAATTGTACATTTTGAGGGCCGGGGCTTCAATCTGCCTGCCCATCTTATGAGTTGGATACTCTACATACATGTATATTATAGATGTGTAGCTACAGCGACTTAAAAGGCTGAAGCCGAAACGAAACATAAACTTTTAATGTTAGGCTTTATGGATGATTATATCGGAGACAGTAGGACCGTAATTGATATTTAGTTCATAAACTTGGGACTCATTTTCTTAGCTTCGTAGCTTCAGTGAAAATCAGAGTACAGATATCAAACTCTTAATTTGTGATTTTTTCTGAGTCACTAAAATCAAAACAGCTTGTGATTTTTCTAAGAATGACATTGTGAGATACATAACTCTTGTGATTATTCTGACTAAGTTTCTGAGATATATAAAGCTTCATCTTTGTGATTTTTCTGAGTGAGACAGTGAGATATAAAACTGTCGTGATTATTCTGACTAAGTTTCTGAGATATAAAGCTCCATCTTTATGATTTTTCTGAGATATAAAACTCTGTGATTATATTGAGAGTAGGATATCAAATTCTGGTGATTCTGTGTGAGATTATATGCCAAGATACTTATACCTATAAGCCTCTTGTTATTTTTCTGAGTCTCTGACACATTTTTATTGTGTTCAAATTCCTTGATGCAAATATATCTCATCTTCAGGAAGTGAGAGCAATGATGCTAATTTTATTGTCTCTCGGAGTCGTTTAATGTCGAGTTTGTGAGAATTACAGCTGTATAGGATACTGGCAGATCAATACACTGGGTTATATAATACATTGGCAGAATGATGCTGAAATTTCAGGTATAATAACAAACCCAACCATCTTATTCCATCTCACTTCCTTATTTTATTTCCGTGGAAGTAAAAATCAATGCATCGATCGCATGCATATTAAGAAAGTTGAATGGCCATTATGTTACGCCTATTTATCCTAATGTAATTAATTAAATTTATGGAATATTAAACAGATTATGTTGTTCACAAAATGCTCCTTACATAAAAATGTAAAAACTACTTCTCAGTAAAATTTTCTTTGTTAATACTTTTTAGTAGGAAAAGTAAAAGTTTTTGTTTTAAGATTCACTAATTTAATTCATAATGTACCGTACATTTGCATATCATGAGAAGAAAATTAGTGAATGAATCAGAAGTCTGTTGAAAAATTAACTTTGAATTTTGAAAAAAAATTTTGTCAGAAGTTCCCAAGTCTTGAATTCTCAAAGAATTTTTAAACACAATTTTATTAATAAATTCAAATTATAAATATAAAATTTTCACTTGCAGATTTTATATATGTCAGTGACTTTCAATTACATTTGTATGCAATGCAATTTTTCATCTTCCATGATCAATGTATATTTAAGTTGGAATATTTCTATTGTTGTTGCGTAATACACAGAGTGACAAACAAAATAAATTTTTACGTAAATAAACTTCCATGACATTAAATACTTCTTAATGAAGAGAGTCATAATTACTGCTTAACGAAGGTTTGTTAATTAACAACTCGACTAATGATTTTAGTCCTCTCTGTACATGTATCATATGATAAGTTAACTGAATAACCCTTAAGAAAACCTTAAAATTTTAGTCATGTTTATGAGGCTAGAAAATGACAGCTCAAGTTAATTAAGGTCCCAAATTGAAATATTTGCTACATTCCAATTGCCTGTACTTATAAGGTACATCATTTCTTTTACAAAGAACAATGTTTTTATATGGAAATGCATCATATAATCCTATTAAAATTTCAAATTAAAACAGAAACACCCAGTAAGGAAAACTACATTATGAATTGATTCAACCCTTAAATTCCTCTTTTTGCCTTTATCAGAGTTGTCCTTAAAAAGTGAAGTATAACAAAGACATTATAAAGTGAGTTCATTCACTAAATGGGTTCCTTCCTGTAGTGGGAAAATTCCCTTTATGAATTCCCCATTTTATGAAGAAATTCTGAGTACATACTCCTACATGTATCAATATTTTGAAGCCTCTGTGTGTGTATTTTGTAAACATGTTTGTAATTGCATACAAGTATAAGCTTATAATATTAATTTTATCATATAACTTTAGAATTATTGATTACTTCTTGAGAAGCAACCGTACTCAAATAAGTGTATAAATATAAATTATCTTGGAGGTTGGCCAATCCTTATTAGAAGAATGAAAATATTAAACGATGATATTTCAATTTTATTTGTATTACATGTATTATCTAACTGCTGTATTTATCACATCATGATGAAAAATAGTCTCGTGGGTAAAAGTGGGTAAAACGTAGAAATGTTAAGGCTGTCTAAGTGCACCGAGAATCTGAATCAATTGTCTCTCAATTCTCGTTTGAAACATCGTATTATTTTGTTTCAGATTGATAAAACTCTTGGTACCTATCTGTAAAATCATGAAAATTTTAAAGAAAATTTTATTTTGAAATAAAAAATTTAATGTTCTATGTCAGCAGTAATTTGAATTCAGCTATTTTGTTCAATTTGATTACAGGCCATTGCAGGGTATTAGCTATATGCAAAGGCAAACTTTTACTGAACGTTGATTTATCAACACGCAAATAGCTGATATCTGCTATATTGAGAATTCTATCATGCAACTTTTTCTTTTACTTTGAAATTGGATTTCTCCATTAGTTGAATTACAATGCTCATCCTGTTAAATCAAGATAAATATTTATAAAGCTGAAGCTTTCAACAAATGGATTCAAACTTGTTTGGTTTCACTTTTACTACCCTTGAATCATTTTTTGCAACATTGTCATTTTACCCAGTAAAGTGATTTTATATTCCATGTGTCCCTTAATTGTCAAAAGGTTCTTAAGAACACAGAATTTACATTTTGAGAATCACTTTCCTTATTGGCTAAAAACTTTACAGTCTTGGTGAAAGGGGGATAACTGCTAATGTTTTGTGATTTATATGGAATGGAGTAGTCATCCTTAGTATTATACAAAGTGAATGGAAATCAATTGCTTCATTGTGCTTATTTTCTCAAATATAGAATTCATGTATGTTTAGATAAAATCTAAGAAAAATTATCAAAGCAATGGTGTTTATGATTATATTTTTGTCTATTTTTAGGTCCGTACCCTGTTTGTTAGTGGTCTACCAATGGTGTTTATGATAATATTTTTGTCTATTTTTAGGTCCGTACCCTATTTGTTAGTGGTCTACCAATGGTGTTTATGATTATATTTTTGTCTATTTTTAGGTCCGTACCCTGTTTGTTAGTGGTCTACCAATGGTGTTTATGATTATATTTTTGTCTATTTTTAGGTCCGGATAGTGGTCTACCAATGGTGTTTATGATTATATTTTTGTCTATTTTTAGGTCCGTACCCTATTTGTTAGTGGTCTACCAATGGTGTTTATGATTATATTTTTGTCTATTTTTAGGTCCGTACCCTATTTGTTAGTGGTCTACCAATGGACGCCAAGCCCAGAGAACTGTATCTACTATTTAGGGCATACAAGGTAGGTATCCATAGCAACCAAAACATACCCAGAATTCCTCACTCAGAAAATTTTATCATCAAATAATCTTACAATGATTATAATTATTTAAGTTTTCATTAATTTCATTCATTGTATGTGATGATTGTTGTTTTTGTATTCAATTAATATTTTTTAGGAGTTAATGAAACCTAAATAAAAAGCTAATACAAGAGTTGACCTGTCTTGTAGGTCAAAGGTCATAGGTCATAATCAGATGAATAGTGTACTTACTTTCACCTGTATATCACATGTGAGGTGAAACATTAAGTAAATCAATGTTTATAGTTTAATCTCTTAATTCCACCATTATGAGATCTTGGAAGGAATTTCTTTTAATAAATTATTTAAAAGTGATTAATACCTTGTTAAAGGGTTGACAGAAATTTCAAAGCTGTTTTAGATTAGTATTAATTCTCTGAGTTAGGAATTGTCTCAGTGTTTAAAAGTTTTAAATCAGTATAGGGACAACAGTTTAGAAATATATTTGCCCGTTACAGACTCATCAGTACAAATAATTCTCAATTAACCAGCACTCCCAATTACATTTAATTAGATAGATTTGCAAATGCATCTTCATCTTCTTCAAAATCATAAACTGTAATATTTATTATGAATATGGGGATGTCCCACCTTAAATGTAAAGGGTCATACCACCTTAAATTTATTGATTGAGTCTATGCCAAAAATTATTGTCTGCAGTAGGCATTTATTTGTTCCTTGACCCTTTCATGTAAGCTGTTGCAACTAATTGTAAGATTATCATTAAATATACATCATTCTTGCCCATTATTAATGTTCTATGTCAAACAGTCATACATCGTGTCTATAACTCCATGTGCTGTTGATTATGTATGATTTAGTAAAGGTATACACACCATTATATGTGTTGGTTTACTGACTGTGTGATGCTAATTAATCAGAGGACAGGAATTGTGGAGTGAATTGTTTTATATGTGTTTTACCCCCTTGCAATAATGACTACCCCCTATGTGATAACTAATTACGACTCCCTTGCTGCTATGTTAGATATATCCAGATGTTGTCAACCTAATTTAAACCTTGTAGATTTACCTCCCTTTGATTCTTCATATCTACCTGTTTTGAGCAGAATTTACAAAAAGACGTCTTCAGTTTTTTACCTTATTTTTTTTTATTTTATAATTGCCATTATTATGCATGTGTCAAATTATCACTTTCATAATTTAAATACAATTTTCAAATCACTATTTTATTACTTTATTTTTCCTTTTTTACATTGAACACTAAAGCATTTTTTCTTCTCAAAATGAATATTTTTGGATTTCACAAAAAATAAAAATAATACCATTTTTTTTTTCACAATTACCAGGTATTTTTATGGAAAAAAAAAAATAAAAGTATTGGAATGTGACACTTCATCTTGAATCTAACAACATTATCTTTTTCTATTTTTTTTTTTTATTATTTTTTAATCTAATTTTTCTGATGAATTCTGGTCATTATGTCACTTGTGGTGGGAGAAAAGAGCCTAACCTGTCTGTCTGTGTGTAGTCTTTATATAGCACTCGATTCTGCTTCCAGGGTTATGAAAATGCTTTGTTAAAGGTGATGGGAAAACCCGGCAAAAATAACAGCGTAAGTTCAAAGGTCACAGTCGTCATAACAGCACTGTCACCACAGTAACATCACTGTGAGAAATGGCTGACGCTATCACTTGTTTAATGTGTGGGAAATTTACGGCCAAAATTAACAACAAATCAAGCATGCTAATATTTTATTGCAAAACTAACCGTGTGGCAACACCTTTGACTGTTTTGTTTGTTTGTTTTGTGCTAACCCTATTAGGTTGTATTGAATGCTATTAATTTTCACATTGATCTTATTTATTAATGTTTTCCTCTATTTGTTCAGGAAGAGGTTACAGGAAAATAGTTTATCGTAAAAAAAAAAAAAAACAACTTCAAAGCATTTGTTCATTTTCCTGTGATCCTGCACTGTTATGAATAATTGGAGGGTATTTGATGTAAAAAATAAAATAAAGCCCTACTAGACAGTATGAGAGTCATGAGAATTTTGCTAAAGTTTGAAATAAAGTAAAAATTTTAGAATAGCTGAATATTAAATCAGCAATAAAAACTGTCAAAATGTAAATGTTTCATCAATACTTATTGCGTACGACTGTAATTAATGTTTTGGTCTCTACCGAGTCTTCTAGGGCTATAAATAGAATCATCAGCGTCATCATCACACAAGTCACTTGGCACCATTGTTGCGAATGATCACATGTTTATTTTACAGGGGTACGAAGGCTCCCTGTTAAAAGTCACAAATAAAAACGGCAAAAACACGTCTGTAAGTACCCGACACGGGCCGGTCCATTACAGAACACCCTGTCACCCCTACTGTGTGGATCAGTCCAGTACTTGGATTGAACCACTTTATGCTATCTGGGGGGTGAACAGGATTCAACTTTTGAAAATATAGCTGATTAAACTCAAAAGTCTATTAGTAAAATTGTTTAATTTTCTATGACTTGGAAAATGTTTTTGTTTCATTTTTTTATCAACTTACTTGCAAAAAACATAAGACCTAGAGTTAATGATCAAATTATTAAAAAAAAATGTAATGATTGATCTGATTGGACAGCAGTTAATGTCAGCTGATTTTTAAGAAGTTGTTTCTGTAATGTGATTGGTGGAAAGCTGCATGTTCAGGCTGAGGGCATGTGTAGGTGGTGGATTATTATAATCAGGATGTTGTCATCTAGAACATCTTTATCTGTTCTCTCTTTCTTTTCTTTATTTCATCTTACCCTCCATTACATTGTATGAAAACCTTATTTTGATGTTCCTAGATACATTATAATTCTCCAAGTTCATTGGTATTTAACAATGTTTAAGCCTAATGACTGGATTGGAATCTATAGCCAAAGCATTTACTGTTACAATTTATTTGATTGGCTAGTTATGAATAGCAGTTCATTCATGCTTACCATTGATATGAGTAGCTGATGTTTCAGTATTATACATTACCTGAACATCTAATTTCCCTAAACCTAGCATTAATGATTAGATAAACTGCTTCTCCTTTAGTATGAATCCTTTGTAGTTATTTTCATGCATGCTTCAGTCTATCCAAATCATGATATTTGTGTATTCATACATGGAATACAAGACCTATTTTAATTGCTCAAGAACTTGATAAATATTTAAATTTGGCCACTCCATAACTTTTGAGTAGTTTTATTCAAACATAATTGAATATGCATGAATTATGAATGAATATTCCAATCAGAATCAAGCAATTCATGAGTCTTAGAATTTTAGTCTTTTTAGTTTATAACTATATCACCAATGCCAGCATAAGCTCTTCATAATTTTTTGATAGTATAATTATGTCTTATATCTCAAAAATTGTAAAGTACAAAGTTTTAGATGGAACGAAAAGATGTATCATCTCTCTTAAGCTTGTACTTAAATATATGGAAGGAACTGAATCCAATAAAAAGCTCAGAAAAAAGTCAGTTTTAGACATAACTAGATAATCAGGTTGAAATCTGTCCTACAGTTTACATTTAAATTCATCCTTAGCTGTCCATCTACATCAACGTTTGTCTCTCCATTACTCTGCTCTCTCTCTCATTTTCTCTGGCAGTTTGTTATTTAATCAAAGATGTAAATGAAGTTCAATATTATTTTGATACCAGTCAACATGTATCTTACTTTTTAAGATATTTGAGTAGTGAATTATATATATATATATCATGCTTTTGACAACACTTTAATCACTGTTGTGCCGTGTAGATATTAACCTCTAATACGATGTTTTCACATTAATAAACCTATTATTGCTGGTTTTGTAATTGCTGTGGGTATGTATGTCTGTCTGTAATTAAATGACTCCCCTTTGTGTTACAGCCAGTGGGATTTGTGACATTTAGTTCTAGAAGTGCAGCAGAGGCAGCTAAACAGGACCTACAGGTTAGTGACTTATACCTGGAATAATACAGGTATTACTGATCTACCTGAACAGGTAAAAGGTTAGTGATTTACCTAGACAGGTGTCAGTAATCTACCTGAACAGTTCAACTGGATAGTGAATTATACCTGGAAAGGTGAAATTGATCTACATGACATTGTTGATTCAATGTGTCTTGCAATCAACAATGTGATTTTCTTGTTTTTATATTTTTTAAAGATCTTCCATATGAATTAACAGTTGATAATTTATTGTTGTGAATTTCAGGGTGTAAGGTTTGATCCTGACTTGCCACAAACCTTAAGGTTGGAGTTTGCAAAGAGCAACACAAAAGTCACAAAGCCTAAACAACAAAGTCCACAGCCAGCTGCCACCCATCCTACACTAATCCACCCAATCACAGGGCGTAAGTAAAATCACATGACATAAAACAACCAATCAAAGGGCATAAGTAAGATCACATGACAAAAAAACACCCAATCACAGGTAAAAAATAACATGGTGTAAGTAACAACACATGACAAAAATCATCCAATTAAAGGGTGTAAGTAACATCACATGACAAAAAAAATCACAAAAAAAATCACATGACAAAAAGAAACAACACAATCATAACATGGTGATATAACTTCATATGACAAAAATCAGCCAATCACAAAGCATATGTATCATTTCATGACAATGTCATGCAAATTTATGTGTTATTTTTAATACAAAGAATTTTCTTTGATTGCAATAAAATATGCTATACTGATAATCAAAGATTCCTTAAGAAAGAAATGCCAAGGGAGATAATAGTTTAGAGAAGCACCACTGACACATGGGAATAGATGTTTTAAAATTTAACAAATTTTGCTTCAGTGTAACTGGTTTTTAGACATATTTTAAGCTTTAAAATTATTTAATGATGACAGATTTAATAAATTTGAATTTAATTGATAATATGAGATTTTATGATTTAGCTAGATAAATTGTAATAGCAGTGTGTTTGAAAAGAATACAAAGTTTGTTTTATTTTGATGAAATGAGGTATTTGTTGTGTGATGTGTTAGAGGGTGGTTTCAGGTAAAATTACTTGGGTGTATGTACCGAATTATTTTGAATTTATGGTTAATTAAGGGTGTACCAGCAGTAGTTAAGCTTCACTAACAGGTACTCAGCTTTTATTTTGCACGTGTGGATGGTCTCCCTTTGCTTTTCAGAGGAACTAAGTGCAGCGTTTTTCCCAGGAGCCACTGAGACCTGGGCCCCACATCCTCTGGCTGCCTACCCAGAACTGGCAGCCCCGACAGCAGCGCTTCACCACCACGCGGCGCTCATACAGCACCCCGCCCTGGCTCAAGTCCCGGTACGGGTTAGTGGTCAATTTACTATACCTCTTACTGCACACGTGCAAAACACTGGGACACAACAGGCACCATGGCAATAACGTCACCTGGGGTATCCATGGCAACCACTGTTTTTTATTTATAGGGGAATTTAAAGGTCACTAGAGGTCACTCTGTCACTGAGATTTACACCTGTGTGTGAAGTTGTGTTGTATGGATAATTTGGTTGGGAGGAATGTGAAACACAGATAAACATTGTTAAGATGAACATTTCACTGTATATTTTGCTATAGCTGAGCACATTTACTAATTATACTAGACAAAAGTACACTATAAAACAAATAAATAACAAGCAATTAATATGCAGAGGCCAAGAGAGAAGATTAAAAAAGAAAGAAAGAAAGAATTTTTTAGGTTTATTTTTAGCAAGGAATTTTTATCTTGGTCAGTTTATCAGTGTGTTCAGCACTCACCTAATTTGGACCATGTCTGCTAGATATAAACTAAAACCTTGGTTTATAAATTGTTAGACAAACAGTGAAAGTACTCATTTAGCCTTTTAGTTTCTTAATATATAAGTAAATGTGCCGATAATAACAAACAAGTCTCCTATTTCTTTCCCTATTTTACGTTAGATGTGTTTCAGCCCTCAGTCTTTTTTCAGACATGAATTTCACACTGTCCAAGTACTAGTCTAAAAATTTAGTCAAAGACATAAGAAAACTTATGTGAGCTATTATGATAAGAGAACCAATGTCTTTGGATAGCTGATTGGAAACCACTTTTGTCAAACATTAGCCTGCCAATATGATAAGTCACAAGGTTACAACTTTCATCAAATACTTGGAATCTAAGATTAACCATTATTAGACAGACTTTTGAAGGTTAAGGAAACCCTATATTATTTTGCTGAAAGTCCTCAATAAAAATAAAGTAATATATTTTGAAATAAAAGAAGTGTTTCAGTTTCTATCTCACTGGGCAGCTTGGTCGTGTGTTGTAGAGTATTGTCATTTGTTGTGATTGATGTGGGTAAAGAAATCAATGCACCATCCGTCAAATAATGGGTAAATCTGCTCATCCATAAGTCCTTCCAAACATTATTTAAAACAAAAATGTAATTTAGGTTCTGAGACTCCCCCAAGACTAATCTAGTTGTCATTTGGAATTGTGAGAATTATCAACAGGTCTGTTAGAAACAATGGGTCAATTTGGAAATCATTTTGTGTATCCTCAGCAAACATCATACAACAAAATGTAATTTAAAGTTTTGAGACTTTTCCATACTTACTTGGTGGTCATATGGAATTATGGGAATTTTCGGTTCTCTTCCTGTTGTTCCCCTGATCAATGTTGTTTTGCACTGTGTTGTAACTTGTATAAGGAGAGGCTATTTTTAGTAATGGTTAATTTAAGAATCAAAGCCCTCCAATGAAGAAATGAGATGTTGAATGATCACACACAACAGCCAAGAAATAAAAACAGCCAGAAATGAGATAACATAAGGTCTTTTCATTGACAATTAAGGTTATTGCACCTTTTTAAAACACTTGCTACAAGCAACAACAACAAAAATAAGAGAGAAATGACACATTCATTGTACCTGCATAAACACTGTTTTAGATGTGTTCATTTTAATGTTAATAAAAACAAATTTGATAGCAGCAAGTACAACCTTAGATATACTGAAAATCTTAAATTTTGAAAACAAAAATTCTATGTTGTGTGAAGTTGGCTGTTGTGTGTTATGTAGAACTATATTAAGAGTTTGACAACTTGTATGGTGTTTAATTATTAGTTAATTAACTGTGACTCTACTAATAATGAATCTTGTTTGCTTTTTCTGACTTTCTGCAAGGAAATATCAAAATTCTCTTTTTCTTGAAGAAAATTTTCCTCCTTTCTTTCTATCTGTTTTATAGCCAGATCTCCTCAGATTCTGAGTAAAGTGCAAGTAAAAAATGAAATTATTCATTTTCAAGCCATTGAAATTAATAATGTTTTTGTATATTCACACTGAAATGAAATAAGAATCTAAATTTACAAAAAAAGGGGGGGTATTTAACCAGTGAAATTTTATGTAAGGGTACTAACAAAAATAACTTTGAGAAAAAATAAATAAAAACAGAAAAAAATGTTGTTTTTGCTTTAGCATAATTCTATATGTAACCTTTTGACCTTGTTTTGTGACCTTTGACCTCTTGTAAAATTCTAGGAATGGACATTTCACACCCTCCCTCAGGTATGATAAACATTATTTACTTACTCTCTCACCTGGCACACCACGCAAACTGTTACCAAGGCAACAAACCAGCTCTTCCTAATCCCCTCAAAACAAAAAAATTCTGACACGCTATTGATCTCCCCTTCTAGCTTCTATTATTGAAGATTCTTAGCACCAGTTATATACTTTATCATGAAAAATCTAAGTACTGAAAAGCCTCATAAAAACAGCTTATCAAATTAAGTCCCATAGCATGCTAAAATATATAGATGCACTTGCTAAATTTATTTCCGTATTGGCTAAACTTGCACTTAAAAAGTATGAATTGCTCCCTCAAGTGTAAAACTGTCAGCAAAGGCTAGTTCATTCAACACCCACAGAAATTGTTAAAAATTTAATGCTAGAAATCAGACATGGATTCAAGTATTTACTGATGCACTGCAAACTTTAGCACCATGGCAACACTATACATGTAGTCATAGTAATGGGCACTGCTCCTATCTACAATATTTTGTGAACTGAAAAGTAAAAAAAAAGTATAACTGAAGCATTAAAAAGTTCAGCAGAATATGGCTTTTGTAGGTCAAATGAGAAGAAACATTTTAAAAATCCAGTTTAAACATTTCTCAATAAGGTGTTATTATACTATTATAGGAATGGATTCCTCATATTCAGGTAAATTTAACTGATTTTCAATAACTTTCAAGAAGAATATGTGTCTATTCAAGCGGTATAATGACCAGTCTTTTCTTATTTGCAAATCTTGAGTTTATTAAATTAGGAAAAGCATCTTTGTTGGCTTGGTAAACTCTGACCCGGAGCACCTAAATCACACCAGCCCTCTATAGATTGTACACCCATCAGCAATCACCAGAATTCATCTCGAACACGCTTCTGTGTGTTCTAAAAATAGCATGAATGAAGCCTGCATGTGTTTTGATCAAAGCTCTCTTTCTCTCTGATCTTTTAAATCCAGTATTCACCAATCTAACCCAACAAGCCATTAATGATTTGCCTACAAGATCCATCTGTATACGTACCATACTGTAATTATGAGATGTTTTTAATATACAGGGATCCCTTGACTAAGTAGGACCATGTTATTAAATAGATTCTTTCACTTGTTTATATAGATGCTTTGTATTTGCATGATATGTCATATATTTAATTTTTCATGGACCTCTTTACATCCCAGCTTAATGAAATTACTTTAAGGTTCTCAAAATTTTCATCTCCAATGCAGTAAATTAATGAAATTAATAATTTTCATGTGCTAAAATGAGTCAAAACATAAAATTTTGGAAGAGTCAGAAACATATTTCGAAATCATTTTACGTATTTTTTTCTTTGGATGTTTTCTGCTTTGTCCTTTTAGTTTATAATTAGAATAATCAGCTAAAGCCAATTCCTAAAAATCCTTTGATATGGTGAGAGAAAAAGAAAAAAAATCAAGAGAATTTCTTTCATTTCTTTCATTAAGCACCATTGGAAGATTTAAAAAAAAAAATGATACAAAGCTGTGATGTGGAGGGTCTGCACTTATAGAGAAAGCCAATGTCTTTTTCAGCACCCGAATTTTCTCTGTATAGAGCACACAGTACGGTGTCCTTCCCAGCATTCCTCAGATACACCTAGCCAAGGGCTGCATGCAAGGAGGGCTTCTATCACCACTCTCATTCATTGCTAACATTCACTAAAACCAACGTATCGCTCTGCAGCTTTATTTTTATAGTTTTTGTTTCTCTTATTGCATATTTTTCACTCAACGTTTTTTTGTATTACAATTATGTATTCTATACTTTGGGTACCAAAAAGTTATCTTCCTCTTTCTTTAATATCCAAAGTTAAAAAAAAAATAAAGAAAAAAAAAATAAATGGACATGGTTTAGGAGGCAAAGCACTTCATTTACTATATTTTTTATATCCTTAAGGAGTGTGACACTTGTTAAACTGTAGATTTTTCGTCCCACCTTATAAGTGTAACAGTAGAGTAAGCTTTTCTGTGTGGCACTTTCTACTCTTCTTATTTCATTGCATTAACGTAGAAACAAAAGTTACCCCGTGTTTTTTTTAGACCACATTTAGTAGTCACCACTGCAAGCGACAGAAGATCTAGCAAAGTCTTTCTTTTTTAAAACGTTTTGTTATTGATATTTCCTGCACACGTGGGACATTTACACAACAAAAATACAAATTTTAGAGCGAACCCATTTGGTAAACATAAATTACAAATTTTAGAGCGAACCCTCTTGGTAAACATAAATTGAGGAACGTTGGAATCTGAAAGCTGGCTTTAGACATAAAGAGAAGGTAGGTCGTAAGTCCGTTTTTTGGACCCAAAAAATGTAACGAATGAGCAATGAATGAAAGACATGGGATTGAAGCCTTCCTATAATTTTGTGGGGTTATGTCATCATGATCCTCACACAATTGATCAGGCTAACTCCTCACACAATACATCAGTGTAACATACAAATAGGAAAAAATGGAGCATCCGTGTGCAGACTTCCTAATATCAAATGTTTTACAGCAATATTTCTTTATTCGATACCTTTTTATTTACGTATACATTTGAGTAAATTTTTGGATTATACACCACCATGGGTTCTGAAAAGAGAAATTGTCAAAAAATGAAAGTCAAACAAATCAATCAAGACATTTTTCTAAAAAGAAAAGAAATTTAAAGGGCCTAAATTCCGTTTGGTAACAAGTCTTTTTGACCACATGCAGAATGTATGACCCCATTAAACATTTTCTGGGACTGCACACCTCCCACGCCTTATAGCTGTATCTGGGGACACAACCACATGCTGGGGAGGGGCCCCGCCACTGACGCCTGGGTTATTATTAACAGATTCACCATCCCACGGTGGTAGCGCCCCCGCAAGCCGTGTCTGCCGCTCTGCCACATCCTCCTATTGCGGCCACGCCTATACTTACTAGCCCACTCAGCACTAGTGTCAGCACATCCGGGGCACTGCAAGTGCAGACGTCCTCACAAAGCCCGGGGTTGTCTGTAGCGGCACACACCAGCAACTCGCCCTGCTCCACACTGTTTGTGGCTAATCTCGGACAATTTTCGTCCGAGCAGGAACTCAAAGACCTATTCAACAGGTGAGTACCCATAATGCGCCTTTGAAGCGTCTTTGTGACATGGACTTACGGGGGTTTCAAACGTGCTTTGAATTTAAAATATGTTCATACAATCTCTGTTTGTTTAGAAATTGGACTGTTACTTGCAAGTGACAAATCTCAGGGAAAAAAATGTAATTTAAAATATTTGTAATGAAACATGTTAGACGGTTAACTTGGTACATGAGTATTTAAAAAGGTACGTATAGATTATATTTTAAACCATGGTCGATTTTTTTGCTGGAAAGTTTCTTTTCTTTAACTGGGTGATCAATAATTTATTACTCACGTTTAACGTAAGCTTCTAGACGTGCAACAATGTAATTATAAGAAAATTAAACACGAGAACACTTTAAGTTCAATTTGAAGACTTGCAAGGTAAGAGAAGAAAATAAAAGAGGAAACCTAAAGACAGATCGAGAATTGGATTCAGTGGAATCGGGAGGCGTTAACGGGCATGTTTCCTGTGGATCGAGACGCCCCAATATTATGCATGGAATCACTCAAACCCAACTCACTAAATCATATCTTTGTTTATTTGTCCAAATTGGAAAAGGGTACACTCAGTGTTTGTTTACCTATTAATTGTTTGTTCCCAATCCCAAAACATTTTCCCCAGAATCATTTATTCTCAAGGTGTTTTACTGTGTACCTGTGTTATTTTTACCTGATATTTGATGGTCACATCTGACTGTGTACCTGTGTTATTTATACCTGATGTTTGATGGTCACATCTGAATTAGTAACGTTAATCTTGTAGATATAACGTTAAGTCTTGAAGGTAAGCGGACATGTTTAATCTCCATTTTATAGATCACAAGAACGTTTGACATCTTTACCATCATTTATAGATCACAACAAGAGTTTGGTAGACACTGATTACACCGTAGCTATATTTGAAGCACTTCAGCGCTTGGATGGAAGTAACTTATATAAGGAGTCCCCTTCACACTCTTTTACACGGCTATATTATTATATTGTTATTATTTTTCTGGCTGATTTCTCAATATATTCTGCACTGTAATCAAGGCTTGACCTTTATCAGATAAACCATTAGACGGGTTGCTGTGAATATTACAATCAAACTTTGAAAAGATATTTCATGGTTTTAACTGCAATTTGAGTTTTAGATATAGACTTATCTTGAACATCGAATGCAATGATTAAGGCTTCAAATTTTGACCTGCTTGCACATTTATTCACTATAAATTTAAGTGTGGAATACAAGTTAAATCAAACCTGCAAAAAGATGAAGCAGTATGTTTGGACAAAGAAACTCAATTCTTGAAAATTTACATGAGCCCCATTTCTCTGGTATTGGTCAGTTCTTGGTTACCTGCAGAAGTTGGACCATAGCTCCAATTCTGAAGCAGCTGATCCCAGGAAAATATGTCACCTTTCTTTTTGACAAAGACATTAGTCATGCTTATACATTTTTTTAAGTGCTTAAGAATATTTTTGAATAAAAAAAATCGTTGAAAACGCAGTGACACAAGTTCATTCTTTAAGTTGATAGCATCGAACACGTGAAAGGTGACACATTCCAATACTGATATATACGTACAATCAAGTTTCTCATTTCAACAAGGAATTTGAGACAGCTGTTATCAGAAAGGATCACATGATCTTGTTGACAATTGCTCACTACTATTCAGATTATTCCTTTGTTCTACAGTAGGAATGAATTTGAAAAGAATGAAGCATTGTCAATCAAGAGTAATCGCACCAGAAAATATAAGGAACAATTGTCAGTACTTTGTTATACCTTTTCTGGTGATTTACAAATATGGTCCTGTACTTATTGCAAAGAAAAATATGATTAATTTCAAGTTAAACATGCAATCACAAATTGCCTCCCCTTGTTCTACTTAGACCACAATGAGTTATCTCCCTTGCATCATGATTGGAATGAGGAACATTTATATTGTTTAACATGTTCAGTTTTTTAACCAGTTCTCTGTTCTATCTCTATATATCGAGCTTCGCATTATTTCCTTTATTTTTGGTCACAGTACTATATATACCAATAAACCTTTTCTTTCACCAAAAGAAGAATTGAAAGACAGATTGAAATACATAAACTATTCACAATAATGTTGAAGTAATTTTAAAGAAAAATTAGTGTAGCACGTTTATTTAGCTGCAATAGTCGCCGAATAACATCTACTGTAGCTATAGACAAAGCCAGTGCAAAGATTATCAAGTTCCACTCGTTCACACACACACCTGGGCTATAACTGAGGAAAACTTATTAAAATAAGATACCACCAAATTGGCTTACAAATTATAGAAAACACCATGATTTGGTTTATAGATATCTTTTTTTTCTTCTTCAAAATTTCACTTTATTCACAGGATATATAACGCTTTGGCTATTTAAAGAACACGTGCACGATTTTTCAACATAAATTAAGATTTTTATCTTGTATCCGATATTTGAATTTTAAATTACCTGAACCATTTTTGGATTTTACACCTTTAACAGTTTTTATGGGAACCAGATTTTTGCAAAAATACATGCATTTATATCTGATAAGGAAGAAATTCTATCACAGTGGTGAAATTACCTCCCCTTGAGTCGCCATTTTATTACTTTTGCATGCAGCCTCGTTTTCGGTCACAACACGATCCCCCTGCAGTTCTATTTTTATGGCACTGCTCCTGGGTTTGGCGCTCCACTCATATTTACTTACATCATTTTGGCAATTCCAAGTATATATTTAAAGAGAAATGAAAATGAATTCAATGAATCCAGCACCAATTGTTAAGTGTTAATTTTTTGGAAGTATTCAAGAATTTTGATGAAATATGGATCATGGTACACAAAGAGACATAAAAAATGTTTTTATATAAACCTGGTAGAAACGAAGAAAAGGTCCGATTTATTATATCGATGATATTTAAAATTTGTTTTTGACATGATCCCTTTGAAAAAAATGAAAATACCTTTGTATATCAATCCGCTAATTTGTTCATACAAGTTCTGCTTAAGGGGCAGATTTCGAGAGGGAAAACAGACAATGCAGCGTAATAAATGAGAATTGATCTGAGATTAGCTGATTTCAGTGTGATTTCAGTGACGATGACGTAATGACCCTTTCTCTGGTTTCTAGTTTCCAGGGTTTCAGCCGGCTAAGAATGCATAACAAAGGCGGATCCCCCGTAGCGTTTGTAGAATTTCAGGTAAGTGATCTTTATTATTGTAGTTGACTGTTCTATTGTTATGAATTGACCTCAGATTTGTTTTCAACTCGTAAAATATTACAGAAATGACGGTTTTCAGAAAAAAATATTAAAAAATCAAAACTTGCATAATATTAGCACACTTAAAGATGACTGAAGGAATTTTACAGGGAAAAAGTGACTTTAAACAGAGAGTTATCTCTCTTAGCGAAGGGCTGATGAACCTTAACGTATTTGTTTTTATAACAGGATGTGAGACAAGCTGGCGAGGCTATGGGGCGGCTCCAGGGCTTCGTCCTTCTTTCTTCAGATCGAGGCGGAATCCGCATCGAGTATGCTAAAAATAAAATGGGGGAGGTGGTGAGTGGACTTTAATGTTTCCCCGCCCACCTACCGATAATATGCAAGTAAGAAGTTTTATTTATAGACATAGCGCCATCATCCACTGCTTGCTGCACCTTAAAAGCCAGGCAAGGGAGACAACTATGTCTGGGAGAAGTCACTGCTTTTACATAAATAGGGGAAAGTTTATATTTTACAGAGAAGGGGACAGTTTATATTTTTGAAATAAGAATTGTGCTTAAAAAAATTCTTGGGAAAATTTATGAAGTAATTGTGGGGGAGACGGTGTTTTGATATTTTGATTTTGTATTGTAATCAAGTTTTTAACAGAAACGAAGACAAGAAATATCAAGAATTGCAACTGAGTCATATAAATCAACTTACGGAATTTTTGTATGATGTACGTGTCATTGAAAAATAACTTTTTGGGACCAGTAGTGATAAAAAAGTTAGGGTTGTGAATTTATAACCTTCTCCTGCTTGGCTTAAATAGTAATCACTTTTAACTGCATGACGGGATGGGAAGTTGATATAACTATAGATATTGTGTAATCTGAGTGGAGATAATGCAAATTATTTATAACTCCTTCAGGAAAGATAGACACATTTGATTTTGCATGTACTTAACTCTGAATGAAACTCTAAAACATGTGTTAAGAATATCACCGAAAGCAAATTGAACCTGCTTAAGGATTTGCTGAAAGTTTTACAACAGGAAGTATTTCATATACAGCTCAGTTGTATAACCAATCATCTCAGCTTGTTTAATCACGTGACACAGCAGTGCACTCCATTGTCATTTCAAACTCTCTGCATGTTATTAAAAATATATCGTTATATTTTTGCTGTGAAAAGTAATTCTTGATCATCGTAGCAAAATTCTATAAAGTATCATCAATGTAAAATCTATATTTAGCTGTAAGTTGATGAGACATGCGAGCACTTGTTTATTATTCACCAATTACCGAAGTGTCTAAATAAAAACGGAAATTATCAAATAGACAGTAAATTAAGGAAAGAAAAAAAATCATTCCTACAAATATATACTTTGAAGTTATTTTGAACTTGTAAGTTTAAAGCTGACATGAACTCTTAAAAAGCCATCATTTTTCATCTTTGTACGACTTACTACATTCCTGTACGCCTTTGTCCGCCATATTTCTTCGATTCCGCCATATTTAATTGAAAATTTTTGGTCACCTGTACCTGCTATATATAGCCTTGTACGATTGCTTCACTTGAGCGATTTTCTAGCCTGACTGTCGACATGTACACATCTCCGATAACAAAGTTTTTAGAAGTCCATAAACTGACCAAATACATGTTTGAAAAGTAAAAAATCACCAAAAAATAGAACTATACCGAGAATTAAATTATTTTTGAATGCATTTGCTGCAATATAGAAAATAAACTAACACGGAATACATACATGTACATCAAACACCCATGCGGGTCGAGAAAACGCGTCAAACGCAGTGATAAAAACATTTACCTGACTACTGCTATCGTTACAGGGATGTGCACATGTCGAAAGAATTATCCTATTTTACTTTTATTGAAAAATGCATCTCAGAAGTCATGTAATCCACTGCTAACTCAACAGTAAAAGATGCTTGGACACACGTGGCCCATGCCGATCATTTTATTTGGTCAGGGAAAATATCAAAGGTTGAAAGCTCAGTGGGGTTGATTGAAAAAAAAAATGCAAGTATTTTTTTCAAAAATAAACATTACTCTTGTCTGTACATGTTGTAAATAAAATTTACGATTAAGTATATGGTTTAACTTCATCAAATACATAAAAAAAGCAGGCATTTTTACGAATCATTCACCTTTGAAGATATTTTCCCGTGATATGAGGGGGGGGGGGGGGGGGTGTAATAAAACATGCATAACACTCTCAAAAAAAAAATGTAAGAAAAACGTCTGAAACAGATTGGATTTTTTTATGATCAATTATTATCAAATAAATACTGTGTATTGGCTTTATTAGACCTAATATGATTTGATTTAAAGTTATTTATAATTTTATGCACTATGAAAGAAAAAGTGAGCACGTTCACATACCCCACGCTCCCCCAAAAGTCGAGGTGCTGAAATTCCCAGAAAAAAAATAAAGGAATCGTAATTTCCTTGTAATATGCACATCTATACACATTGTGTCCTAAATATCTGCAAAGTTTGACGAAATTGTGTGCAGCGGTTTATGAGGAGTTGCGCTGACAAACAGCTCACCTCTATATTCAAGATATGACCAAAATCTAAATGTAAAAGTGCGGAAATTCCTGAAAAATAAAGAATTCGGAATTACCTGGTGATGTGCAAAACTACACACACATTGTCTCCTATAAATATCTGCAAAGTTCGACAAAACTCTGTACAGTGGTTTATGAGAAGTTGCGCTGACCAAAAAAAAAAAAAAAAAGAAAAAGACTGACTGACGGGTCAAAAACATTATACCTCACGCGTGGGGTATAATAAACGAGTTTGATTCTTTGGTACAATGATAATGAAAATAGAATTTAATGTGAATTAAATTTCTAGACATAAATAATTAATGATTATTAGAAAAAGCATATAAGAATAGAGAGTAAACTCCTCATGAGAATTCCACATTCTACCTAAAACTAGCTTTTTAAAAATTCTCTTGTCTGTTGTCCAAGTTCGACACATACGTTTGAGAAGGTATTCGAGAAAGTCCCCATTCCTGTGATTTATATTTCACGTTTATTATATCCCCCGCCTGAAAAGTGGGAGGTAATCGTTACGTCCGTTCGTCTGTCTGTTACGCTTTGGGGTACCCATCTCTTATCCGCAAATCCTCTTACACCACTTTGAGAAATTTAATGAAACTTTCAAAGAATCTTAAGTTTATTACATATTACCATTATGCACCTCCTATTTTACTTTTTGATCTGACACGTATGGGTAAATAGCGAAATATGGACTTTGCCATTATAACCATATGGGAGGCAGGGGGTATCATTTAGTGAGTTCATTGCTCATAATACATGTACGTCTAGTTTCTCTTTCAATTTTAATAAAGTTATTATTCAATTAATGAAGTTTCGACATCCCGCCTGAAAAAAATCCTTGATCTGTCCTAACGCATAATAAATGGTACAGCACAAAGTGCGTAGGATTTTATACCTATCATTGCCCCAACGGGTGGTTACAGAGAGAGAGAGAGAGAGAGAGAGAGAGAGAGAGAGAGAGTTCAATATACAAAAGAATAAATAATAATTATCCGTATTCAACCAGTGTAAAGTATCCCTACCCTAACTTTTAAAATTATCTCCCAAATTCACCTACAGAAATCATTTATATATGTATATAAAAATACCTAGACTATCAGGCAGGGATACTGAAATCTCGAAATACTTCCTGTAACAACATAATTATAAAACAGTTACATTCCTCAAAATGCACATACTTTGTGGTCGGAGTGACACATTTTTAAAAAAAATCTCAAAACTGAATTCGGCAGAAATGCCTGTCTTCCAAGAATATTTAAATAACGGTCATGTCAATTATTTTTGTATGCCCCCCCCGTCCAAAAAAAATCAAATGCCTAAATGTCAGTCTGAACAGGGGATGGCCTTTCTCCGTGTGTGTATGTGTTAAAGAATGTATAGATGTACACATAAAAATTTGTATTCTGGTTAATTGCTTTTAAGATTAATTTTGAAGTAAATTATAGCCGTACATCAAATTACTTTGTTTAGATTTGAGATTAGTACTAAAATAATCAGTTATTGACAAATGAATTTTGCGACACAAACCAACTGCAGAGTATATACATGACTTTGTATAGAATGTTTATTAGAACTACATGTAGGTAAACAATTCACAATTATAGCTTATGAACATCAGTTATAATACCCCCCCCCCCCCCCCCCTTTCAGCCGCGCAAATACCAAATAACTTCTCTTTCCACTTTTGATATTTTCCCTGACCAAAATCTGATCAGCACGGACTAAGTGTATCGTCGTGCTAGTGTGTACGGAGTAATGACAGTGTGTTTACTATTGAGCGTTTCTGGAGTTTATTTCTTTTTTGTGATGCATATTTCAATAAATGGAATTCAGGGTGTATTTCACTTGACTTGTGCACATCTTCGAACCGATGCAGTAACCTTATTACCAGGTATGGGTACGTTTACAGCGTTCGAGGCGTTTTCTCGATATGCATCAATTGCATAGGACCTGCAAATCAAAGACGTTGGTTGTTTTGTTCCATTCAAATGATATAATTTCAAAATGTGTTTGCAAATTTTACTGCTTTTTATTTCAAGTTTATTCTGCATAAATTGGCGCACTGTAAAAATACGTACTCATGCATCTAAATTTCTCTTCCAAACTTGCATTTTTTTCTTTTGATTCAAATCAATAATCATTCAAAAATATGATTATTATGTTGTTTATTTTGTTTTTGAAATGTCTTGATAACCTCATGTGTTCTCATATGCTTTACCATCGGAGATGTGCACAAGTCGATACCCAATCCAAAAAATCATTCAAGTGTGACGAGCGCATTGGGGTATACATCGTTACAGTGAGACAAGGTATCTGAAAGAAATATGGCGGAATACGGCTATAGTTGGTATGAAACAAGTCGTACATAGATGAAAATGTTGCGTTTTTAAGAATTCATGTCAGCTTTAATGTACAATGAGACATATATATATATATTGGTTGGTGTGAATTTATTGTTACATGTGTAAACATAAGAATGCTTCGAAACATGGCTGCATTATTTGATATTGCACTGAAATATATATTTTTGCTGTCAATTATATACTCACCGTCAATAGAAACGCAACACCCTAATTTTAGGGATGAAAATTACATACGGGATATAACCATGTACCAAAAAAGTTAGGACATCTTTTACTTTGCCAAATCAGTTATTTAACGGTTGAATGATTTTCATTCCATTACCGGAAGTTGATTTTTAGCTCCCTGAACAGAAATCAAAAATTAGCATTTTTAATAAAATTATTGACAATATTATGGGTTTTCAAGGTTTTGTACCTGTTAATTATAAGTCTTGTACTAAAAGTCCGGAAAAAATATCCTTCTTTCTCTTCCGGATGTGATGCCTGTATTTCCTCAAAGTAACTGAAAGAACGCATTTCCATTGCTTATGTTGGAAATTTTCAAAATAAAGAAAAGGGAGAGTTACAAATGCAAATATACACTACATAACGACTTTTCGGGCTCATGTGTTTCAAAAGCATGAATGACAGTTCCTTGACCGGAAGTCCAAGGGTTACTACACTATGCCAAGTTAGAGAAAATTCGACCTCAGTATCTGAAAAACAGGCATTTAAAAAAGGACAAGAATATTTATTTCGCTCAGATTAAGACATTGATAAACTTAATGCATGGTAGAATTCGGGCTGCTTATGTTGTACCTGGCGGACTAGCACGTTTTAATTGAATGGTCGGAAGGGGGGATGTTTTAGAGTTATGTGTTACTTTATAAGGTTTAAAGATAAGATTAAGAATGAATACATAAATGTAAAAAGTAAATTTTCAAAACAATGATACTTCATTTAAACTTTAAATGTTATCTCTAGACCTTAGAAAGTAACACATAACTTTTAAAACATCCCCCCTTCCGACCATTCAATTAAAACGTGCTAGTCCGCCAGGTACAACATAAGCAGCCCGAATTCTACCATGCATTAAGTTTATCAATGTCTTAATCTGAGCGAAATACATATTCTTGTCCTTTTTTAAATGCCTGTTTTTCAGATACTGAGGTCGAATTTTCTCTAACTTGGCATAGTGTAGTAACCCTTGGACTTCCGGTCAAGGAACTGTCATTCATGCTTTTGAAACACATGAGCCCGAAAAGTCGTTATGTAGTGTATATTTGCATCTGTAGCTCTCCCTTTTCTTTATTTTGAAAATTTCCAACATAAGCAATGAAAATGCGTTCTTTCAGTTACTTTGAGGAAATACAGGCATCACATCCGGAAGAGAAAGAAGGATATTTTTTCCGGACTTTTAGTACAAGACTTATAATTAACAGGTACAAAACCTTGAAAACCCATAATATTGTCAATAATTTTATTAAAAATGCTAATTTTTGATTTCTGTTCAGGGAGCTAAAAATCAACTTCCGGTAATGGAATGAAAATCATTCAACCGTTAAATAACTGATTTGGCAAAGTAAAAGATGTCCTAACTTTTTTGGTACATAGTTTTATCCCGTATGTAATTTTCACCCCTAAAATTAGGGTGTTGCGTTTCTATTGACGGTGAGTATATAAATCTTCATTAAATTTCTAAGACGGTCATTGGTAGAAAAAAAGTCCATTTACTTTTAATGAAATATAGAGATAACATTACTTTTTGTGCCCCTTAGTTAAGGGCCTAAAAATAGAATCAACATTTCGAACACTTCCAGAAAAATACTCACATTACACAGAGATTAAATGTTGTTTTTATTTCACAGGGAAAGAAGGACGAAGCACTCGGTCAATCCCCAGTGGGCGTGACAACGATTTTCTCATGAATATTCATATGGTTGTGTTTCCATAGGAACACCTTTTTTTCTCTCTTGTCTACTTGAGGACCCTCGTCTGTGATGAAGGAGATGTAACATTTTATTTGGAGTAAATTTTTTTTCATTCTTTGATAAAAATCAACGTCTCATAATGTTTGATTGATTGTTTTTCTGTCATTTTATTTATACTATATATAGTAACGGAGGTTTTTTTTGGTATATCTGTTTATCTCTGAGATATTATACATATAATTATATGCGTATACAATATGTTTCTTGACATTGTAGATAATTCATGTTACTTAATGTTTATTGTATATTTGATATTATCTATGTAATGAAATTGAACGCATATTTATATATATGCATAAATTAATAGATTGATGGTGATTAGAGAGTGGAGGTCAGCTGATGTCAACGTCACAAGATATGTGATCCAAGAATACGTCACAAAAATACAAATCTTGAATACATTTAGAACAGAACGCTCAATATATACTGAATGAAGCTAACCTAAAAAGAAACTATTTCGAATTCAAAAGAGAATTGATTTGTTAATTTTCAGTCTCTACCATGTCTGGTATAGATGAAAAAAGTTGAGGGATTTTAGTTGAACACGTGACATGACGTCAGCTGATCTACTTTTGTTGGTATTTTGACCCTCTGGGTGTGTGTGTCAGGTTTATTATAACGTATTCATTATTTTGCTGTGATGTAAGGTTATTTATTATTGATGTTTACATTTTTGTCAATTTCCCAGGGAGTTTTTAAATCATGTTTTCCCCTGTTCTTTCTTCGTCAGAATCGTCAATTTTATTGACCTGATGGATTTCCTGTGAACAAATCATTTTCAAAATCTGGGAACCCCAAACTGATTTTTTTTATCATTTAGCTGCTAAAAGCTAAGATATAAATAAATCATAACATGCATAACAAGAGCTTGATTAGAAAGAAAATGCAATTTATAATCATACAAATCCATTTTTTCACTGAAAATTTATAAATTCTGAACATAAACAAAATTTTAGGTCATAAAAAGTTCAACTGGACATGTTTAAAAATCATCTGAAGGAAAGTATCAGATTTTGTAAAAATCAATTACCATCAAGCAAGAAACTCGACTAATTTGAGTAAGAGTAAGTACAGTAAAACTTAGTCATAAGGGAATAACTGGAACTTCTCGAAGTTTGCTTCCTTAATTATTGATCAGGAAAATTGAGGATTAAAATAAATATCATTAAAGTATTTTATCAAATGAACTATCGTAATGAGAGACATCTTTTTAAGCAGATTTACTATATTATAACTGACTTCAGATGAACAAAGTAATAAAAACGCGTCCGTCCATACATCCCAGACATATCTTACAATAGAGTTGTCTTTTTATCAGCACAAAACACGGTCATTTAAGCTATAGAGTATATGGTGTATCTTTTTTTTAATATTCCACTTTTGTTCCCTCATTTTATTTTTCATTTTTTTAGCTTTACTGGGACTGTCAAATAAAAAAAATAAATGAAATTTTAATCACATCCGTTAAGGTATTCTGCACCTGTGTTTTAAACGCATAACTGTGTTCGAGTCGCTTGATCTCAAAATTACTACTTGTAATGTTCTTAGAGAAATAAAATACGACAAGTAAAACAGATTTTTGGGTCATTAACCCCCAGTTAATTGTTCTTCAACAGCAATATTGTGTAGACTGCTAAACTGCACCGATGCACTTGTTAAAGAAATCAAACAAGATCACGTGATTGTAACCCCAACCCGTGTTAAATAGAAATCGGCACATCCCTTAGAATTTTTTAAATAAAAAAATAAATGACACAGTCTAGGAAAACACATATTTTCTTTTCTTTTTTCTGAGTTCATCATTCAAGGTTTCACTTACCAACGAGGTTGTACAGAAAGTTAACATTCCATTTTAAGCCAATTTCCCCCTTTTACACCATGACATTGGATGAACACTTCCTAAAGGGTATATAGATCTATTTCCCAGCCTTTGTTCTTACGTCACAACACTGTTGCGTCACACTACTGTTATAACGTCACAGTACTCTGTAAGATTTGTTCCGTTTTTTTTTCTAAATCACACCTTCAGTAAAAATACACCCTTTTTTAGTTGAGTTTGTCTACTGAAATTTATAATCTGTGTATTATTTTATTTATGATAAATAATAGTAATTTATTGTGTGTTTTAAAATTACATGTTGGTAGGCTAGAGTAATTGAATTCATATGGAGTTTTCGCAAAAAGTCGACAAATATGCAAATGTTTCTAAATTTATGTTGTTGATTCGTAATAGTGCTGTAGAATTGATGAATGGAATGGGTGATTGTTATTATTATAATGTTGTATGTATCTATTTGCGTGTTGACCAATAGGAACACTTGTTACAAAATAATGCTTATTATCAATTTTATATATATTGCTTATATGAGTTTTGATTGTCTGTCTCATATTAATGTGTTACTACGAAATCCAGTGATTAATCATTGAGGATTGACCAATCAAATATAACACCTAAATTGATTGACCAATCAAATAACTTGTTTTAGATATGGTTGATTTGATTGACCAATCAAAGGAAAGATTATAGACAAGGCTAAATCTACTTCGAGCATAATCATACCATAGTTTATAGAGGGCTATAGTCTTGTTACACAGGGTATAAAATATAGGTATTTCTCCATGGACATTTCACAATCAACTTCGACTTGCGATCAAATTTTCTGTTCTTTATAAGTGTTAAATACTCATTACTTTTTGCAATATATATCTGTATTATCAGGCCATACAATTTTTTTTATTGAAAGATAGAACAAAGGGAGGTAATAATCGAAATATCAAAAATAAGGGTTGTACCAGGGAATTAATTATATGCAGAGCCCCTTAGCATGCAAATTATTCTATGCAGTAGTTGATACAAAGTTTTGTATAGTATCGGTAAAAATATGTGTTGAAATTTGAAAATTCACAGACTCTTTAGTTTCAATTGCAAAAAATATGAAGGATTTGAGGCTTTACAGGGTAACTGTCGGTATTTCACCTTTTTGCGGTAATCGCAATTCAGCAATAAGATTTCTTAACTGTAAGATAGAAATTGATTTAAAAACGAAGGGCTTTGGAATTCGGATAGATTTCTTTTTTATTTCACTACAATGAATTTTTTATGTCTTTGAAAAATGAATTTTATGTAAATGGAAGTATTAAATACCTTGCTTCCTCCTCAAACATTGCACTTTAAACAGTTAATTATAACATACAAGAAACACTGTTCGTATGCAATATTCGTTTTTACAGATATTTGACATCGTGGATAAATATCAGAAATATGTAGTGACATTAGCTATAGTCAATTTCATTCTATTTGTGTATGACGTCATTGGTAGTGGGTTTTATGTAGACTTTTTGTGTCTGAAGGACGTTAAAACTTTCAAGGTCACGCCAGGGTAGTCCTGATGCTTTAGTCTATTTTTAGATAATGAACAAAATACAAAACGTAGCATTTGGTCAGTTATGTCACAACACAGTTCTGTTTCCATGGTAACTCTTTTTTCTTTATAGCCACATGCAGTGCAATGACTGTTGTTTTGCTCAAGAACTTTATTTAATAGAAATGTGTTATAACTTTAGAAAATATTGTAAGTGGGACATTTTACTAATACTTTACTTGTGGAATCTTCGATAGATTAGACGAAAGGGCATTATAATGCTATCTTAACATCGAAATAGTCACGTTCTATTTTCCCATGATGCTTTGATTTCCCACATTATATAGACAGGAAGTTTTCTAAAGTATTAGTGTTACGCCATTGATGTACATCGTAGTTTTTGGGTCACATGACTCTATTTATGTAAATTATATCATACATGTCTTTACATGGAATAAACGACCAACGTCATTTCCTTTGTTTTGTTTATTTGTTAGACTTCTGACATGTGACATGTTTCAGGCTCCTTGTACCCACTCCATAAATAAAATCAAAGGCAATTGAAAATTCGAGGCCAAAATTTTCAAAAATTGTAAGACCGCGGAACATTAACTGGCAAAATTGGAAATATACAGCTTACATCATTTCTATCTGTTACAATCGAAACATTCAGTGATAGACAATGAAATGGGCGGGTATAATCCGACACGGACGTGGGGAAAACATCGGATTGAAATTGCAGATCGAAATTCATTTTCAATCCACCGGATTGAAATTGCAGATAGAAATTCATTTTCAATCCACCTCAGCTACGCTAGATGGCACATTATTACTGATTGACCCAGAAGACAAATAATTTCAATTTTTGTACAGTTTGAATTTCTTTTGTCTAGTGTTTTAAATGAATTATAATATCTAAGGGACAAATATTTCATTTTCTGTTTGGTAAATATATGTATATCTTTGTGTTGGTGTGTGTGTGTGGGGGGGGGGGGGGGGCTGAACGATTTTTAAATAAAGTTGTCCAACAATTTTCAGTGAGAATAAGTATAAAACTCATGCACTCTTATAATCCTAGAAATAAAATATATTGTCATGTTAAGCCATGACCTGACTCGACAATTTTTACCCCCAAACTCGACAATTTTTACCCCTTTCTAGAATTAAATATCTCCTGAAAAATAATCTTTGTCTTCTATGATCTTTCGCGTTCTTAAAATTATAAGCTAAAACTCATATTAATGTGAACTTCAAACAATATGTATTTGGGATTTGAAATTAGTTGAAAAAAAATTATAATTGGCTACGTTCTTTTTACACACAATAAGGTATCCTTCAACACGGATTTCATTTCTTTTCAGAAGGAAAATAATACATGTATATTAAAATTCCTACATATGGAAGTTTCAGAAATCAGACTTAAGGTAGGATTCTTCTCTGGTTTCTGACTAGATGAAACATTCATAGTATATTTGCTTGAATGTCTTATATATTGAGGTGTAAAGGATTTAAAAGACCATATCTTTCTTTCCTCATCACAATTGTACAACTTTGAATAGAAATGGTAAACTGTGTTTGAAAACTAGCAGGCACTATATTTTTGGCGGAATGGTGGCGTATGAAAATATCTTCTTTTCTGCCTCTCAAAATTATAATAGAACAATGAATTTAGCTATAATTTTTACACAATCAAAGACTTGAAGAAATTTTCAAATGTAAGTTAAATTAATAATGAGGGACTAAACTTTCAAAATATATCAAATCAATATGATTTTTCAAACAAATTAGAACTTTGTTAGCTTTTAAACGCTTCCTATCAAAGTGCAGATTTGAGCCAAAAATCCATAAAAAGTATTTTTTCCCTCTTAGTAGACGATCAAAACTTTTTGTTTTTGTATCATTTTGTACATTTATAAGACTACTTTATTATGTGCGAAAATAAGAAAAAGTTAATATAGGAAGCATATGAAAATAACTAATATATCTTAAAAAAATTAAGAAAAATAGAGAAAATTCGGATTAGCCAATATCCGGTTTAGTTAAATTATTTATGTAAATTTGGTAATATCATGCTATAGACCCGATATAGTTATATCTTTTTATGCAAAAAAAAAACAATCTTTAAACTTTTGAAATAGAAGTGGGTATCAAATGATTAACAACAGTATTTTTTTAATCTTAATGTCAAGGAAAAAGGTAATGACCTTGATCTGACCTTGCCTCTAATATAAAACGGTCAAATTTAATCTCACTGATACTGTCACTTACTGATATTGTCTTGTTGATTCTGTAAAAATTTCATTAATTTTTAAATATTAGAAATATGAGAAGAATCCTACCTTAAAATATAATATGTTATATCAAAAATTGTTTTAAATGGATGCAATAACTCAATATTGCAAAAGATACTGCGAACGATAGTATTGTTCTCCCTCCTACCTCCAAGTCAAATTTAAAAAGTTAACATATTCGAAGGATTTTTAAAGATTTTTATAGATATTTATATGAATTGTCATAAAACATTACTTATTTGGTAAACAAAGATGAACAATTCTATAATTTTGGTAGAAATTGTTCTATAGAAATCAACGGAAAACATTTTTAAAAACATCCCCCGTGAAACAAAAATTCCTTTTTTACAGGTAATATGGACTGTCATTTTACAAATGAAGGATATGGAAATAACGAAGAGTATTCAATATCAAAGTCCATAAAACAATACAAACTGCTATACTCTTATAAATAGCTTTCTAAAAATTTGTTACTAATAAAAAATCCTACAAAGTAATGTTGGCCTGCCAGTCCAACATAAGAATTGTTAGACTGCAACGTAATTAATCATCGTTCAATATCGGCGACACGGAAATAGCCAAAGCTGCAAGAATTGTTGCTACCAGCAAGGTAAGGAAGAAGGGAAGAGTATGTTTTGTGATATATAATTTTTGTGATATGATAATTAATTTGTTCTTTCTCAGCTATATTGTATTATATATTTACTGATTAAGCCATAATTTTCCATATAAAGTAATTTTTGATAATATAGTGTGTAATTATTAAATCTTAAGTGAGCACTGACAGGTATATCAAACCAGTTGTAGACTGGGATTCGGGCAACATATGATTTGTTGGACCTGAAGGTGAAAATGGTGCTCGAGGTCGCAGTCCTCGTTCAACATTTTAACCCTCAGGCCCAACAATTGATATGTTGCCCTCATACCCAGTCAATAATTGTATAATAGGAGCAGAGCAAATAAACATCAGAGGTGGGATCAGGTGAGTCAAAGATGTGCTGAAGATTGTGTATAAATTGCATAATGTTTATCATGAAGTTCTGTACATTCCGTTCAATAATTATTTGATAATTGTTCATATTTATATTGGTATATAGGTGTTTGATTACAATTTTTCTACCAAATATATTTTTGTATAGAAATATACATTTTTTTTTATAAATACTCACAACGTAAATCTGAAAGTAACCCCAAACAGTAATTATATAATTATTATATAATTTAATCCTGTGTAAGTGCAAACAGGCCAAGAAAAAGTAGCACTGGAAAAAAGCTTATCTTTTTTAGTTTAAGCGGAGATGCAAACATTTTAATCACTTTTTGTAATCATTTTGGTATTTTCTTAATATTCAAGATTGAAAACATTCTGACAAAGACTTCAGAAAAATATTTACTTTAGGGTGGAAAATTGACTAAGAATAAATAGAGTTCATTTGCCTATAATTTTTTTTAATGTGGACTTATCTTTTATTTCAATTGAAGAAAAAAGAATTTATTTTCGCAAAATGTTGTTTAATGTTTTTCAGTTATATATTTTGAAAACAACAATGTTTAAAGAAATGCATTTGTGATTTTTTTGGTCAACTTTGCATGACAAGTTCCCATAAAAATGAGTGAAATTGTGTATTCACAATATGTAATTACCATTCCAAATTACTATATAATATGTAATTACCATTCCAAGTTTAACAGGCTGCACTATATTTTATAACAAAGAAACATGTGATTTTAACTGATTGTTGAGCAAGTGCAAATATATCACTTTTAAAAGTTTGCAAATTATGTGACAAAGACTTCTCCGACATAGTTTTTACCTTAAAACGTAGGTCACGTGTCACGATAGGCGCTGGGCACGACAAGAACCCTCACTGCCAAATGGCCCTGAGTGTTTTTCATTGAGATGATTTAAGCAAGAGTTATTCCCTATAGCCCTATAGCCGCCATATTGTAGGGCAACAATCCCAGACACAGGCTAATGAGGTAAAGATAACAATATTATTTTCTTATTACCGGGCGGTAATACGTATGTTATAGCCTCCATTAATTCATAATTTTAAAATTATAAATCTCCTCCCCCATATATTTCTTGCATGCATGTTTAAAATTGTTTGCTCGATGAGAAAAATCACTGCTTTGCCTTACAAGGTGGCGACAAAGGAGAATAAGTCCCCCGCAAAAAATGTCAAGAAAACCATCTATAGGTTGCCATCCGAAGCATTTCCGAACGTCCTGTTAATTAATATACAATCAATCAAACCAGTGGATGTAGCATTCACGTGCTCAGATTGATCAAATATTGCTACATTGTATTTCAGAATCAGAATCCAAAATGTTTTTAAAAGTATTTATTCTGCATTTATTATGCATGGAAATAAAATTAAATATAAAATTAACAAAGTAACAAATTAATTTAATATAGATCAATCTTTTGTAATCATGAATTTGAAAAATAATTGCAAACGTAAATTCACACAAAGTCATCAATTCAAATAGAGTTAAAGTATCCCGAATACTATTTATAAGCTTATTAATATATATATATATATATATATATATATATATTATGTGAAATTATGTACATGAAATTTTGAAAAATAAACATTTTTAAACAAAAACTTTTCAATTATAACAGCATAGAAAGGAGTTATTTTAAGACCAATCATTCGCCGTTGTCTACTTCAATAACTATAAAGCGTTTCAATGTATTGGTTAACATTTCAACACTAAACAGAAATAGACAGATTTCATAGAGTTGCATGTATATCAATTATTATTTGTGAGAGAATGTTTCTGATTAATTATTACCCTTCAGATGGCCCCGCTTCTCTATATATCTGTATACACATATAAAAACTCTGTTGGAAAAAAATGCGTCTTCATTGAAAATGTATATGGATCCGACCCAAAGATGATGAGTTTTATTATTAAAGCACAGGCTCCATGGACTTCTTACGCCACGTTCTGTTGTTTGTATATTTGACAGGAAATTGCCATCCTTGTCAAGAATCTGGACTTTGCTAGATTTACGATCAAATACCAGAATGTGTGACAGCACATCTGTACAAATTCCATATGGTTCTATTCTTGATCCTTCTGAATATCCTGTGTAAGAAAAAAGATGCCTTCCAATTCGATTTGTCACCACTACTCCACGGGACGAGTCAGACACAATTACATCTCCATTTAGGTTTTCTGTGATGTATAACGGATTCTCGTACAGCTCCTGGTCCCTGCTATTCTTCTGTATTGTTCTAATCAGTTTTCCTGTCTTACTGTAACGAAGTAACTTTGATATTCCTGGCAGTTTTGCAGTTATCCCAACCAGTAGATCGTCATTTATAGGGGAACAAAAGACACACGGTGCTACCCGTGATTCTATTTTCTTTACCAGCGTAGACATTGTTTTGTTTTCATTTGAAAGTTTTGTAATGTTATTATTCTTATCTATATAGATAAGATCACCTACACTGTTAACCGTATGAGATCCAGTATAACTATTTATATCTCTCAAACGATGAAGAATTTCACCTTCTATATTTATCAAAAGAAGGTTGTTTAGATCATTCACCCAAACTTTGTCTGGTGCCACACAGGAAATGTGCAATACACCATTCACGCCTTCCACTGTGATAGATCTATATAACACTGGTTGAGGCAGAAGCTTCAGGAGATATTCATGTCTTGTTCCTGTATCTGTGATAATATTTTCGCTCAGTAATTTAATCAAGTTTTCCATGTTGAGTTCGTCGTACAAGGAGTGCGGATGTTGCTTTGTGAAATTTGGAGTATCTCTTATCTTTGGAAAAGGAGTTTTCTTGTGGAAAAAAAGAAATTTAATCGGCCATTGTGTTACCTTTTCACTTCTACGTTCGTACTTCTCAATACAGACATTGTTTCTTTTTCGTTGTTGCACACAATGCATAATTCTTCTGTGCAAAATTTTAAAGTCATCTACAACTGTGATAATATGCTCCTGCAGACTCTGGGCTCTAGTTGCCATTTCTAATTGAAAATTGGAAAGTTTTGTGTGACAATTTCTTCTGTCATCTTTGATTTCTGCTAGGAGAAAATAACTGATATAAAGAGCCTCGTACCCAATGCTTTGGAAAATATCTTTACATTTTTGACGATATGATCTGTAAGCGGATTTAATGTCTATGTTTTGGGGTTTAGTACATCCTTTACACTTATAACAGAAAGGAAGTTCACATGTCTGACAGTATATTCTATAGATTTCATCTGGATGTTTAACACATCTTTCTGTACGGATGAATTCATATCTCTCACGGTAAATCACAACATCATGGTATATGTTATTTGGATCAATAACATGTCTTTCTTTACACTGTAGACACAGGTCATGTGAACACGTCTTACAGAAGAATTCTGTTTTCATTTGGCATTGAAAACACCGTCTTGGTTTACACTGGGCGCTGATTTTCTGTTGAAAATGGTTCAATATTATTAGCTGCAGAACTGTAGTGGTTATGTTTTTACAATATATATTAGCCTTTGACCTTAACGCTACAGATGCTAAAGAGAGGAGAAACGCAACCAAAAACAGCGCATAAAATAGAGTTAATGTGAGCAACAAGCTCAATAAATGACACCCCCTTATGGTTTTAATGACAAAGTTTCCGTTTTGCTTTTGGAGACTCGAAATACGTCTCAGATCAAAAAGTAAATCAAAAAGTAAAATAGATGGTGCACAATGGCATTATGCAATAATGAATCTGTAAAAGGTTGATGATATTTTATCCAGGTGTATAGGAGGAACTGCTGATAAGAGATGGGTACTCTTAAATATTGTAAGAAAAAATGGCATTGTCAATGTACATGTTATGCTCTGAAACGAAAAAATATGTGTCCTAACAAAATTAAATTAGGTAGAGAACAATGTCATATATTTACATTCGCTGTGTTTTTCTACTAAGCCAACAGTGAAATTGATTTGAAAATTATTTTTGTGTATACTCACGCGTACAAATATACACGGAGAAACGTGCGATAACGTGACGTCACAATAAGGCTACAGCGACGTTAGTAAAAGAATAACAAAATAGGGCAGCGAGAACTTCAAATATTGAGTATATTTTTAGCGCTTCCAAACATGTAAAATGTAAATATAAGGAATGTTTTTAAGTTTAGTGTGAATTATTGGTGTGTGAATCACACAGACTTGCACGTAGGCATATTTTTCATGAAGCGCTAGCGCGCTTCATGAAATATGCCTACGTGACAAGTCTGTGTGATTCACACACCAATAACTCACACAAAACTTAAAAACATTCCTTAAATATAATAAATTCATTAAGGTATTCAATGTATTACGAAGAGATTTTGCTAGATAACGATAAAAGTGAAATGGACCAAACTCACAAAACTGATAACACGTAAGGAGAAAGTCATTTTGCACATTAAATGTTTTTGAAGAGTTATCTGCCCTTGATGAAAAGAAGAAAATTTTTTGATTTCACAAAATGTCTGTCTTAAATAATTCATTTTATTTCAAATTGTAATAAAGAGGTAGTTTATGCATATTTTCACCAAGAGATTTGTTTAAAGTTCAAATTACTTTTTACAATATCTTTTAAAAACGTGCGGTGCCCATAGACTTCAATGTAAAGTTCAAGGTGATATTAATTGGCCAATAATCAAAATTTTGTAAATTCCTTTGGTGGAGCATTTTTGTTTGATAACATCCTCAAAATGCTACCATGATTAAAAATATCGGACCATTCATTTATTAGGCACAAAATATGGTCTTTATACATTGAATACCTTACAATGTAAATGTCAATCAGTGAAAAAAGAGGATTTGCGGATACGGGTTGGGGAACCCAAAGCGTAACGGACAGAGGGAAAGACAGGCAGGCAGACGGACATCCCGATTAAAAAAAATGATTAAAAATATCGGACCATTCATTTATTAGGCACAAAATATGGTCTTTATACATTGAATACCTTAAATGCCATTCAGTGATAAAAGAAGATTTGCGGATACGGGTTGGGGAACCCAATGCGTAACAGACAGAGGGAAAGACAGGCAGGCGGACGGACATCCCGATTAATATATACTACCCCTCCCCTCCCGCTAATAGACTGCCCTGTAAATTTCATCTTTTCTGTATCATGAGCGTTATGGTCAAAGACCCATTTACATGTATTAATCAATAATGCTACAGTCCTGCAGCTTTACCATAGCATTAACAGTTTTTTTTCTCTAAAATTTCTGAAAGGAAAGCTGTTTATTTTATATAAAAATGAGAAAGTAAGTGAAATATTTATGTTGACAGAACTCGACATTAGATATCACGACGATGTATTATTGATGTCAATAATATTCATATGTCAATAATTCCAATCTTCATTTTATCCATTGATTTCCTGTGTTTTGATTAGACGAGAACACGTTCCAGAAAATTTTTACACATCGATAAATTCTTTCAATCAGAACTACTTTCTTGATGACACTACTAGGTTATCGTATAAACAATGAAAGCAGTTATTTCTGGGTCTGTTCTGGCTAAATAATGAATACAAGAAACTTTAAATTTAATTAGGGCTTAAACAAAACTGGCAACATACTAGACTGCCTAACTGATGGACGCCGTGAAAATGTTTAGGCCCTATGTCACTGTCCGATCACGAATGTGAATTTTAAAAATCGCTGTCTCAACGTTCATACGTAGAAAATAAGCTCAGTCTGTATCGTTTTGACAGGGAAAAGAAACGTACCTCAAACTCTTGCCCTATTAGCATCAAATTCATATTTACTTTCTATATTGTTCCTCAATATTTGAATAAACAAGTGAAAATTGAAGGCGTCGTCAGTCTGCTCACTTTCGCTATGAGAGTTGTTGTTTATGTCAACATGGCCATGGTCAAAGACGAACTATTCTGAAGTAAACTCGTAATTACGATATTTGTTGACTTAAACAACATTCGATTAGTTGTTATAAGTTTATTTATCGATTGTTTTGACAATTTAAGTTGAACTCTATCGAAATTCATCTCGATTACGTTCCTTTACGGTAAAATGTATTCCTACGCCGTCTAGAAATAACGGATTGTATGGAGGCCTCAAAGAGAAATAATTTAAATATTTTTAAAAATTCGATATTGGAATTATAAGAATTAAACGTTCTTTTTGAAAAATTTATCGATGTGTAAACTCTTGACATTTTACTCACAAACTTAACATAAAAGTGCTTCGCACTTTTATTTAGTTTGTGAGTAAAATGTCAAGAGTTTACACATCGATAAATTTTTCAAAAAGAACGTTTAATCCTATAAAAACCCCGTGTACCACGGAGTATATCACAACTGTTTCATATATGGATATTTATTATACCCCCTGCAAATGAAGGAGGTATTTAGGAATCAGCTTGTCCGTCTGTCCGTGCGTCCGACCGTCTAGCTGTCTGTCCATCTGTCTGTCGGTGCAAACGTGTCCGGTCCATATCTTTCTTACGGAGGAACATGAGAATCTACTACCCCACACAAAAAATTCTCATGACCTAAGGGTGTGTGACGACCTTGACCCAAGGTCATCTGTGTAACTTCATGGTCACTGTAAGAAAAAATGTATAATTCATATTTGGTACATATCTTATTATGCAAAAACTAGAATCTATTACTTCACACAAACATTGCTTATGACCTGGGGTTGTGTCATGACTTGAACCAAAGTCATTTATGCAAGTTCAAGGTCACTGACAGAAAATTTCATAATTCGTGTCTGGTCCATATATTTAGTCTATTAAAAATGTTTTAGTATTTCTCTCTTCTCTTAGATCCATAAATTATTCCTGAATTAGCACCTCTGATAAAACCCAAAGGGGGGCATTTTGTCCCATTTGGACAGTTCTAGTTTATTGACTAGGTACAAAAAGGATCGATTTAAACCCCTGAAACCTACATTCCCATTTAAACGGTTAGGTAACGCTTAAAAAAAGTGACTGTACTTAAACAAACGCAAAGGGAATGTTGATTGAACCATGTGTTATCCCTGAACGCAACTTGGTAAAAGTTTGGAGAGGAATAAATAGTGATCGATCGCAGCACGCGAACGGTGCTCAAACGTAAAGTAAACGCAGCACAATTAAGGTTGCAATTAAAATATCAGCAATTTTTTAAGATAAAAAATACATAATATATATATATTAGGATGGGCGGTTCTTTTTAGGACTTCACTGATATAAAAAAATGTAATGTGGTTTAACCTTCATGTCAGGGACATTTAGATTTTTTATTTAGACATCTTACGTGATGTCGACGTCACATAATTTTTGAAATTATACTTTCGGTTTAAAGCTCGAGGTCATCTATAAATTCCAATATTGCAAGGGTATAACCAAGTTGAAAATCTTAGTTTAATTTATAATCCTTTTTAACACTATATGTAGTTTGTGAAAAGTGCTGCGAACCTATATAGATTCCAATTTTTTAATGCTAAAATTTAATTTGTTGGACGGCAGGTCGAATATTTTGCTGGTCAACTACATTATATATAGCTTTAATTAATTCATTTGCGAGATTTCATGAGGTTCGCAGCACTTTTCAAATATCTTAATGCTTCTTGAGTTTATGTGTAAAAGCTTTACAAGATACAGTGAGGGTATGCCCTTGCAATAAATCGATTTATTAGGGCCCTTCCATTATTTTTTTAATTAATCTGCATACAAACACACGACAGTATCACTTGTCTGGAGAATGTACAGTCAGTTTATAAATAGAATACTAAAATAGACATCGCATCCAAGTTAACAGCCTTTTATTTAATAGCAAATAATATTTTATTGTGAAAAAAAGACAATTTTATTGTACAAAATGTGACTTGATTAGCCTTTCTCTATGTACAAACTGCGTCATTTTTGCAAGGTGACGTAACATTGACAAGTGCATTGTGATCGATGCATCGTTTATATACTGTTGTGTGGGATTTAACAAACGACAAAACTGCATGTAATAGTAAGTTTGTATGTAGTACACAGCGATCCAGCTGTTTGAAATTGCAAATAAGTTCATTTTGTGGTATTTTGAAGACTTTATATGATGTGTGAGGTCATAGTAAACATTTCCCGTACAAATAAGGCAACGCCTCCTTACTTAAACCTTAACTGTGCTGCGAACGGCAAACAAACATCAAACGCGAGAGGAAGGATTTATTCCGAATGCCCCCGATTTTTGTTTTGCATTGAAACAATTCTATTGTAGTTTATGTCAGTGCAAAACAATGAGCGTACATACAACTTTAATTGATTTATTATTTTTGCACATTGCGTGTATCGGTAAATTAAATGTTGAATTATAAAATACAATTGATACCATCAGTATGCCGGGCGACAGACAACGACATCTATCTTGATTATAAACTTAATTATAAACAGATTT